TTTGGGGTGGAGGACATCGCTTCTAGGTTGGAGGCCATCGCTAGTAGCCATCTAGGTCCAAACCCCCCGGCCTAGTGCCCTGGTGGTGGCGGGGCCCCACGGACGTGGGTGCAGATTGGACCCTGCTACCCTTTTTTTCCTGGTGCCATGGACGACCGAGCACTGGAAGCTGGGGCTCGGGAAATCCTCAGCGACTTTGAACTCTGGGCCGATGTTCAGTGCTCTCTGACTGATCGGCCAAGTGTCCTGGTGAGTGACTTTTGTTTGCGGGAAGCCGGTGACTTGTTTACATATGAAGCTACACACCTGACGGCCGCTGGCCGGAGTCTGGCACAGGTTCATTTGGACTCAGTTTGGATCAGTCATGATGTTCCCATGCAGCAGAAGTTACGCTTCTCTTGGCAGGCTCCAGAACGACCTTCACTGCACAGCCTGTGTTTGCACGGGTTTGTCGGCAAGTGTTTGGTTTGGGATGCCTCATTGCTATATCCTCCAGCCAATGCCACTGCTGATTTAGCTATTGACAACATATGTGTATCTTGCCGCTCGACAAGAGGACCCAAGGGCCGATCACTGCCTTGCACCTGTTTGGCGGTGCCTGGGGAGGTTGGTCGTACGCTGGACAGATTTTTTCTGAGTTGGGTCATGAGGTCATTTCAGGAGCGATTGAGATTGACTATGACACCGCCAGGAGTTACAGCCTGACACATCGTTGTCCTCTGCTTTCAGCAAGTGAGAGGGGAACGTCCTCCCTCCACTCACCTTTGCATCCTTCCCTTCGGGGTGGTGTGTCTGTGCGGACGTGATGGATCCTTCATGGTATGAGGCTGCGGCTTTTTGGGCCCCAGAGATCGTGACAATTTCCTCTCCATGTCCACCCTGGAGTGGGGCCGCCATGCAACAAGGATTACATTGCAGTGATGGCCAGTTGTTGATGTGCAGCATTGCCTTGTGTAAGATCCTGCGACCCAAGGTGATCCTGATTGAACAGGTGGCTCTCTGGTTTGCTGGCTATCACCTTCGGTTTTCACATGTGTTGGAACTTGGTGATCTGATAGCACCTAAGCGGGCTCGCTGGCTGGGAGTGGCCTATATGATCCATGAAGAAGACCTCAAATGGCCTCCAATCTCTTCATGGAACATTGAGCGATCCGCCACTTTGTGTGAGTATGATTGCATCCTTCAGTGGCCTGCTGAGGTCTTGAGCAAGTTACGAGTACCAGAAGATGCACTGAGGCAGGCTCGATTATTCCCGCTGGAAAGAGGCTCCAAGCAACAGAAGAGATGCACTGCTGATCAGGCGGCGCAATCGCATCTGTTCCGCCCTAGTGATCATAGCCTGCCTACTTTCATGGCCCAGTATGGAAGTCAACATCATTTGCAGGGCCAACTACTGGAAACTCGTGGATATTTTGCTCATTGGTTGCAGGAAAGAGAGTCGGAGTTACGCTTCTGGCATCCTGCTGAGATTGCTCTACTCCACGGTGCATGGGGAGGTTTCTGGACCCACTCGGATTTTGAAAAGGCCTGGAAAGGACTCGGCAATCAGATCGCCATCCCGCATGCTCTCTGGCTCTTGCTCCAGGGTATCAATATGCTACGTACCCGAGATCTACAGCTCCGATGGGATGACATTGAGTTTGCAGGTTGCCACTTGGTTCAGTTGGCAGATGGCAGCTTGCCGATCGATCAGGAGCAATATGTGCAGAAGTGGATTGAGGAAGTCCCTTTGAGCAAGGAGCGTGCCAAGCAAGTTAAGTCTCCTTTGACACGCAAGGAGATCAGCAGATGTTTGGGCCTTCTTTGATCAGAATCGAATGCTGGCTTCTGAAATGACCCATCTGGACTTTCCCTTGGGGCACTATGTGGATGCAACAGCGCACGCCCTTCCTTGTGAAGAGGGATGTCATTGCCCAGTTGTTCACATCTGACAGGGATCAGCTGCCGGCAGGAGTTTGTTGGACTCCTGAATTGGGGAATCTCCAAATCAAGGACTACATGGAACTCAATGGACAGCTTCTCCCGCCTGTGTGTCTACGACCCTTGTCCAGGCACACTCTTCCAGCCACACAAGCGCAGGACTTGGATGAGACTCAGCCTTTTCGCCTGTTGGCTCGATGTCGGATCATGTTCACCTCGGGCGCAAAGGCCTTTCAAGTGGAGCACTGTGCCAGTTGACGCTGTGACCTCTCTCTGGAAGGGCACTAATGAGCCTGAAACGGAAGCCTGGCAGATTGATGATCAGGATCGCTTCTTCCCACGAGCTGAGGCCCCCCTGACGTGGCCGAAGGATGACAAAGGGCTTTGCATTCCCCTACTGCAGCGTGATCTGTATGACTTGAGATACACTGTCAAGGGGGAATTGGTTCAGGCCCTGCTGGACAAAGAGGAACAAGAGGAGTTGTGGTTTGATCAGTTCGTGCCTCTGAGGACACATATCCTGCCGGAAATGGTACTCACCAAGCATGAATGGGGACACTCTGCTCTTAGCTTCACTGCGGAGGACATCTATCGTACTGCCAAAGGAGCTCAGATTCTTCACCTTTGGAACCACAAGACGGATTCGCACTCCATCCAGGGTCACGGCTCGGCTGCTGAGTGCAATTTGTGGTCTGCTGTCTGGGCCGCTGCTTTGACTACGGAAGGCCGAGAAAGCTTTCACTTGAAGGTGGAGCATCAAGTGACCGAGATCGACTTTACTGTGACAGCAGCAGTGCACAAACCTACGGCTATTCCACCTGACCACTTTCTGTTGTGGTGGGCTGTGAGGACCTTCCGGAGCACCATGGACTGTCTGCGGGTCCCGGTTGGCATCTACATCTCTTTGAAGTGGTGCAAGCGGGTTTTGTGGGAAGGCCATGTCAATGCTGACCTGCAAGCTAGCCAACTTATTGATGTGGTACAAACATTGTGGGACCCTGTTATCCAGAATGAGGAGATCAGGTTGATTCATGGCGCCTCAGCCTCACGCCTCTTGCCGGAACACTCCTTGCGCTTGCTGGGGACTTGGGAGAATCGTGCTGGTGCCTTTGTCCTCCACATTGTCACTCGCATCCAGGGAGGAGGTGGGGGCAAGAATCCTCAGGCGGTGGCATTGAAGAATCAGGTAGCTAGTGCTTTGCTGGATCTCCAATATGATTTGGAATGGGTGTCTAAAGCTGTGGACAGCCTCTTCAATCACTTGGGCCATGCTGCTATTGCTGCATTGATGAATGGGAAAAAGGAGTCCCGTGCCACGGTCTTGCTGAACGCTATGCAGCAAATTGGTTTGGAATTGCCTCAAAAGCGATCGGGAGCCAGAGCTCTTCACGACAGCTGCAAGCCCAGAAGCGGAAACCTCCACAGGTGAACCTGTCCAACCTCTCCATCATGGCTGGTTACATTCGCAATGAGGATGATTCCAACGCAGCTCAACTGACGAACTTCATGCCACAATCCTCAGGGGTCTTCCTGGCCCACTTGGAGCAAGCGCTTCCATGGTTGAGGGAGAATGCAGTGCTGTCCAAGGACGAGCTGGGCATCATAGTGGTCACCTCCCAGCCTTTGGAGACCACTTTGAAGTATCAGGCCATCACCATTCCATGTGAGCTGCCAGATGCTCCGCCCATCATCATTGCTGGCACGCTGGTTCAGTTTGGGGAGAAACAGTTGAAATGCGTTGAGGGCTCACATCGGCTCAAAGACCCGGCTTGTGGGAGCATTGCCTTTACTATGTGGAAAGCCGATTGGGCTTTGGACGACTGGACTCACATCCTTGACTCCACTACCAAGTTTGTGGTTTCCACTTTCGCTGCTGCGGGATGTTCAGACATGATCCAGTCGACCTGGGGCAGATCCCTTCGTAACCACAACAAGGTCGTTGTCGCTGCCCAGGCTACTTCGGTGCAAATTCATGGGAGTGTCCAGCCGGATCATTTGCTGGCTTTACTTCAAGTCAGTGGCTTCAACCGTATCTTCTGCACACCTAAGGGTGCCAATGGCCGGCAGGATGCCCATTTCAGGATCATTTGGGCTCAGGATAACCTTCCGAGACTTACTTCGCTTTCCAAGACTACTTCAGGTTGCTTGGGACTTGTCAAAGCGCGTGATGGCATGGGTCTCCGCTTCAAGCACGAGGACTTTGCAGCAGCATGGAAGGTCATCCATCCCACCAAAGAGGTCCCGCCTGATTTGCAGGGAGCTGAGTGGATCAAGATTCAGCAACTTCCTTTCGGCACCTCCAAGGACATGTTGATTCAATGGGCATTGACCTACAAGTGGAAGTTGCAGCCTATTCGGTCAATTGGTGCACGAGCATGGTTGGTTGCGAGCAATGAATCCATCCCAGCTGGCATTTTGCTGTATAATGGTGCACCCAACTTGGCACAGTTGCTTCCAGCCAAGACTGATCAAAGGAAGTCGCCCATCGTTGCAGGTTCAGTCACGTTGTCGTCTGCTGCTGCTGGTGGTAGCCAGACTGGTCCACCGTCGGTGGATCCTTGGGCTCAATACCTTGCTGCTCAGGGGCGCACTGTGGGCCCAGCACCAACCTCACGCAGTGTAGTTGGCCCCACGGAGACGAAGTTCCAGGAGCAGGAGGTCAAGCTGCAGGCTATGGAAGTTCGGCTCGCCTCCATGGAGGCTTCGGCCAGCCAGTTCCAGACCGAGACGCAGAAGCAAATCACTCAGCTGG